AGATTAATTGCTGGACATTAATCAAAGGAAAACTATAGCAACAGAAAGTAAACTTAGCCACAATTAATTCACTTCATATGGGGAAATAAAGCCTAATTACTTCAAGGCATCCTATCTTAGAACAACTAACCCTGACCTACAGAATTAAAATTACATCATTTATAGGCACTAACTCAGCAATGCTAACCTGTCAAATGAATTGGAACTCTGGCACTACTGCTAACTACAGCCTACCTCATTAAAAGAATTTAAATTAATTCTAGAAGTTACCTGGCCATCTGCTAGAATACTTAGTTTATATAAATTATTTAAAGTCATTCATTTCCCCTATTACATTTATTCTTCCCATATTAAATAATGTCAAGAAAATCCTAGAGAAGACAAAGCATACTTTTAGTAGGTATGTTCATATAAAAATCATCATCTTTTATACTTATTCATTTTAAACTATTCTTTTCCCTATGGCTAAATACATGGTTTAGTTAGGTCAGTTGTGGGAGGGCAGGAGCACCTGATCTAGGTTTCTCTTATACATGGATGTTTCTCTTTCTCTCCCTTCCTCTAAAATCAATAAAACATATCCGCAGATGAAGCTTAAAAAAAAAAAAAAAGAAAGAAAGAAAGAGGAAAGGACAGGGGAAAGAAAAAGGAAAAAGAAAGGGAAGGAAATGAAAGGAAAACTGGGTCTAGATACTGGGTCCAGGTAGCATGTTTAGGAAGAAAAAGAGATAAAAGAAGGTTTGATTCCCAGGCTGTGTTCCTACTGAAGGCACCAAACAGAACAAAACATTAGCAAAGAATTAAAATAGCTTCCTTATCTGTAACATGAGAATACTAAAGTATATTCTACTAAAGTTTTCTCTCTGCCACAAAAATTCTATTCCTAATCTAGTTTTTTAGACTACCCTCTTTCAAAGGTCTTTTTGAAACGGTATGCTAAAACTTTCAATTCATAAAAATATTACATATTTTCTTTCTCTGAGTCATGTCAACTCATGGAACATTCAAACCTGTAGAAAACTTTTGTGAGTTTATTTGACAACTCAATTGTCGACAATTGCCAGGAAGCAAAATCTTAACAGATTGAGAAGATGCTCCAGAGAATGGTAGTTATGAACCTTATTTTATACATTACAATCAAAAGAGAAGAAGTCCTAAATGGATTATATGAAATTCATTGGTGACAGATTATGGATTGGATAGAAAGTAAAATGACAGCCCTGCCGGTGTTGCTCAGTGAGTGAGCGTGGACCCCATGAACCAGGAGGTCATGGTTCGATTCCTGGTCAGGGCACATGCCTGGGTTGTGGACTGGTAGGGGATGTGCAGGAGGCAGCTGATCAATGATTCTCTTTCATCATTGATGTTTCTCTCTCTCTCTCTCTCTCTCTCCCTTCCTCTCTGAAATCAATAAAAATATTTTTTTTTTAAAAAAAGCAAAATGATAGACACTTCTTTTACACAGGTGAATACATGTTAGTTAATAGTCAACAATTAACATTACAATAGCAATGAGGAGAGTCTGTGGTCTTCCCAGAGCAATGCCTCTGAAGGGTCTGGAAAAAGAAAATTACTTTGACATTCTACATGTTATTGTATATGCAAAAAATAAAATAAATAAATAATAGACAGGCTCAATTAAGGTACAGATGGACTTTTGTTAGGGAAAAATACTGCCTTAGGACATGACAACCTGCAATAATCTGCTTTTAGTTAAAAAGTTTTAATTTCAGGTCCTTTGTGGTTACTTTAGGTCTCTTGCGTTTGTAAGGCTGCCACGCAGGCCTTACCTGAGCTTGTCAGGTTTAGTATGTGGCCCTTTTCATCCACAGTTACAATGAACAGGGGGTGGGGGGAGTTGAATGTTTTTAAATCAGAAAAAACTAGGCCAACTAACCTACTTATTTATTGGTGACACTCTCCATCCTACTAGTATGCAACTCTGTTTCACATTCACTCTTCTCAAACCCATTCTCCTTTATTTCTTTTTTCTCCAAAGCCTCAGGCATACTAGTGGAATCATGCAGCTCTGCATGCCTCCAGGACTTTGATGTTACTGAACCCAGCCTACCTTCAATGAACTTAAGATCTTTTTCCTTTCTTTCCTACTACCTGTACCAGACAAAGATCTTATGTGGGAAAACAGGAGACAATAGTCTGCTAACCCAAGGCAGAGATTCTTTTTGAGGCCCATTACCAAACTGAGTGTCTAGTACACAGAAGACACTAATTTAACTGTTCTATGTAAGTTATTATACCCACGAGTCTCATCAGTGATTTCTTTTTAGAAATGCATAATGTCAGCTCCCACCCAGACCTACTGAATCAGAAACTCTTAGAGAGGGAACCTGAAATCTGTTTTTAAAAGCCCTCCAGGGTGAGATCCTGATGCACACTCAAAGTTGAGAACTGGCCCCAAACAGTTTGGCTCAGAGGGATAGAGCATAAGCCCTCGGACTAAAGTGTCCCAGGTTCAATTCTGGTTAAGGGCATGTACCTCGCTTCGTTGCAGGTTCGATCCCAGGTCGAGGTGTCAATCAATGTGTCTCTCTCAAATCAATATTTCTCTGTCTCTGTCTCTCTCCCTCCCTTCCACTCTCTCTAAAAATCAATAGAAAAATATCCTAGGGTGAGATTTAACAAAAATAAGTAAATTATGAAAACAGATCTTAAAAAAAAAAAAAGAGTTGAGAACTGCTGTAATAAACATGCCAGGAAATCACCTTCTTGTTCACTACTACTGATAGCAAACAAGCAAAAAAAATTGATTTTTCTCAGCTGCCGCCACTTACAAATGATTGGGCCCACATGATGCTATCAACCATTTAACTTGTCTCCAGCCTGTACACAGTGTACAGAGATAAACTTTAGAGTTCAATTTAAAGATCTTAGAGTTAATTTAAATATGTGACCTAATACATGCCCTTTAAACTCAGAGACCCAGTTCTCTCGTCAGTAAAGTAGGAACAGTATCATATACCTCCATGAATAAGAGATCGCTTACAGAAAGGTGCCTGGCACTCAGCAGACCTTCAACAAATGTAAGATCTTTTTCCTTTCTGCCCTACCGCCTGTACCAAGTCCCTGCTACTTTACACAGGTAATGCTCCTAAAGAAGATAGCACTCTGGCACTCCTTGGAGAAATGGCACCAAGGTCTCCTAGACAGAAAAGTTCTCCAGTGAGGTTTTTTCTTATGAAAAGTACCACAGGATGTAAATGAAGTGAAAGAATCCTACAGAATCATATACAGAACAGCAATTCTAAAAAGGTAATCCAAGAGCTAATGGGAAAAGCAAATCATACAAAAGCGTGCACCTTTTGCAACTTAAAATGATTGACATTAAACAAAACATAGGCAACTTTCTCTTAAGTGACCAAAATAAATCAATGGTAACTGGACATAAATGCTACATTTGGGGAGGAGGGGGTTAGCATCAGAACATCCAAGAGATCTGGAATACATGACCCATATTAATGTGGTCCAGGCATTCAAATTCGAATTCCCTAGACTTTCTGGGGCAGCATCACTGTCAAATTATCTCAATCTTGTCCCCATACATGATCTGATTTTTGGTTCAAAAAAATATATAGTCACTAGGGGCACCAAAACAATAACAACCACCAAAAAATGCAAATAAAAATAGATCGCTGCCATACATGAGACTTAAAAACTGTAAAGCATTACTTTTTTTTTTTTTAAGTTTAGAATTTTGATGGGATTTTACCAGAAACAAGTCCTGGTTTCAGCTCCTCACTCCCTCTGTCTAATCTAAAGTCTCACATTAAAATGTTTAACTCCATACCTACGAGCCTTTAGGTGAAAATAGATCGGTGCATTGGATGCGTGATGGTACTCGATTATTCCGCGCAGGATCCAAAGCCGGGGCTGTCATTCTTCCGCCTCCCGCTGGTATCTGAGACGGGGCGGACAGCCCTCCGTTTTTGACATTCTGTCCCAGCAGCCAACACCCCCAGCTGTAGGACTTGCGTGAACTTTACACGTTCGCACGTTTTTAAGGGGACCCCCCTCCCCCAGGAAACTCGGGAAAGGAAGGCCAGCCCTAAGCTGAAGGACACCAGGCCAGGAGTTGTACAGCCACCAACTCGGCGCCTGGCTCTCCGAGCGCCCGAACTGCAGCACCGCCTCCGCCGCGCAGCCGCCTAACTGCTACTCCAGACAGAGCAACAAACACCGCGGAGGTTCCCGCTTGACCCGTCACACGGCCCCTTCACCTCCCTCGGCGGGACGCACTCCCCCCGCCGCCCCGGGGCTCCAAAGCGAAAGCAGGCTCCCCTCCGGCCGCCTTTCCCGCCTCCCCCCAGCACCGCGGACACACAGTGTCGCCAGCCGCCGGGCGAGGGTCCCCGCGAGGCCGGACCCGAGGGCTGCTCGCGTCCCCGCGCCCCAGCGCCCCGCGACGCTCCCGAGGTCGCTCCCCGGGACCCGCTCTCCCCGCCGCCTCGGACCCCTTCGGCCCGGCTCCACTCCAAACCCCCAGCTCCCGCCCCGCGCCTGGCGGCCCCGGCACCTCTTCCCCAAACGAACCCGGAACCTGGCGCCGGCCCCCACCCAGGGGCGGGCTCCGGGCCTGGCCGAGCCGCGCAGCGCCGGCTGCGCCGCCCGGAGACTCGCGCGCGGGCCATGGCGAGGAAGTGCCGAGGGGACTGACCCCAGAGCCCGCTCCTCCCGCCGGGGCAGGGCAGGGCAGGGCAGGACTTACCTTCGTACTGCAGGTCCACCAGGACGAGCAGGAAGGGGAACACCGAGCCCAGGCGGCTAGTCACGGAGCCGGGGGCCACCATGTCCGAGGGCGCGGCGGGGAGAAGAGACCAGAGTGCGGGGCCCACCCGTCCCCGCTGGCGCTCCGCAGCAGCTGCGCCCGCCCGCCGACGGCTCTCAGGCCTAGGCGACAGCTGGAGCCCACCCGAGGAAGGCAGCGGTGGGCGGGGCCCGAGCGACGCTCCGCCCCCGCGCCGCCGCTGTCCAATCGCCTTCTGCCTATCCGCTCTTCTACTGGGCTCGCCCGGTCGTGGTTCGCGCTGATAGGCTGCGGAGGCCATCGCCCCGCCCCATCTCTGATAGGGTAACGTGGAAGCACGAGAGGAGGCTGCGTCCGCCGGTTGCGGAGCTGTCAGAGCGCTCAGACCGGCCGCTGGGGGAAGGCGGCGGGAGTCTGACTGGCAGCCGCCGAGTCCGCATGCGCAGGGGCGAAAGGCTTTTGGATCGGGCCGGCGTGCTGCGTTAGCGAGGAGGAGGAGGAGGAGGAGGATGTCAGCCAGGCGACGTTCTTCCGTGGTGCTGTTTGGTGAGGAAGGTGAAGCCACGGCTTCGAGATAAGAAGGCGAAACCTCCTCCCAAGAAGGGAGCTTTAAAGCTCCTAGAATGGGCTGTTTACGACGATGAGTCAGAGGCCGCTCCCTGCCCCTGAGCATCTCGGGACAAATAACAGACTGAACTGGAGAAAAAAAAAAGCTCCAGAGAAACGGTCAGGAGTAGCTGGATGAGCTGATGGAGGCCAAAGCATTCCAGGGAAAACCAGAAAGAAGTGCACATTACTGACCTAAGCCACCTATTGAGGATGGCTTGGAAGTTTGGGGACCTTCCCCCACACCCCGACTGTCCAGTGGGCCAGCGTGTCCAGAAAGAGAGCAGAATCCTGGAGGGGTCTGTGAAGAAGAAACCAGGGAGCTGCAGCAGCTGAGACAGCAAGGGGCTCTTGAGAGTGCGGCCAAGGTCAGCTCTAAGGGAAAAAACACCTGTTAAACGGGATCTTGCATCTTCTGCTCATCAGAGGAGACTCAACGGAAGAGATAAGATCTTGAACAAGATAAAGTTCAAGTTACTTAATTTGGCATTTTGTTTGTTCGCAGTCATTTACTCTGACGTCTCCAACACGCACACTATACCCAGTGGTGTTTTACTTGAGGTAAAACAGTAATGCTTTTCTGTGTTAAGCATTGTTAAGTGAAAATGTATACAGTGGGGCCTTGACTTACGAGTGTCCCAACTAATGAGTTTTTCGAGATATGAGCTGTCTCTTGGCCGATTTTTTGTTTTGAGTTGAGAGCTAAAATTCGGGTTACGAGCCAGCTTCAGATACCCCACCGCTAGTTGGCTCAGCGAATGTCACAGTGAACGCCACAACATCAGCCCAGCATCACGTGTCTTGTTCACTTTTTGATTTGACATATGAGTAATTTGAGTTACGAGCTCCGTCACAGAACGAATTAAACTCTTAAGTCAAGGCCCCACTGTACCTTTATCAATGAACTAGAGGCCTGGTGCATGAGATTCATGCACTGTGGTGGGGGGGGGGAGGGGAGGCGTTCCCTCAGCCCAGCCTGCACCCTCTCTCAGTCCAGAACCCCTGGCTCCTTACATGATGCACTGAGCCCCCTGGCTGAGCAGTGCTACCCCTGTGGGAATGCACTGACCCCAAGGGGGGCAGCTCCTGCGTTGAATGTCTGCTCCCTAGTGGTCAGTGCACGTCATAGGGACTGGTCTTTCTGCAGTTGAGTCGATTTGCATATTAGGGTTTTATTATATAGGGTATGTATTTGCTACTTCTGTGCTACTTCACACTTTTAGAGGAACTTGAAGTAAAAGCAGAAAGGCTTCTATTCCAAAGGAAACTAGTGCAAAGGAAATGGTTTTGAGGAAAGAAACAAAACCCAAGTCTCTGTTTAGTTGTGGTGAAAAGTAGTATGTATATAATATAACTAGTGGCCCAGTGCATGAATTTGTGCACATTGAAAACAAATTAATTAGAAGAAATATTTTACCAGTAATATTGCTTGTTCGCCCTTTCTCTATAATAGAAGTGTCAAACAAATTCAGGATCAACAATGACAGATGGAAACACACGCATGTGATTGGCACCAGCAAGAGCTTCATGTGTATCGCGCATGCATGAGTCAACTTAGCATTTTATAGATATAGAATAAACTTTCTTAATTAGACCTGCTTTCTGATTTAGCTAAACTTTTTCCAGCCTCAGTGAAGCACCTCAACTTCTCTTTCAGGTAATTGTCAGCAACACAGCAGTAAATATCAACATGAAGCAGATTATTATTATTTTAGATCACGCAGGGAGAACAAACGGTAAAATATTTAACTGCAGCAGTGTTTGACTATATTCTGTGCAGTGAGAAAACCTGAAGTCATTTTCAAGGCCCACCATTTCTTCTTTACAGTCTGGTCAAATTTCTAAGCTTTCTAAATCTTTGTTTTCCAGCTAATGAAAAGAAAATAGAATTCTACCAAGTCTCCCATCTACCTACTCCAGGACTTCTGTGAGGATCAAATGAGATGAGGCATGGGGAAACACTTCACAGACATTTGGTTACAGTGTAAAATGTTTCCACCTGGCTATAAAGCAAGTTGTGTTCCTGGGCTGAAGAAACAACAAGGAGACTAGTCCCTAGGGAGAGGAAGCCGGGTGTTGCTATGTGACGTCATTACCCAGACGGACACGTAGCATATTAGCACTCTCTCTCTCTCTCTCTCTCTCTCTCTCTCTCTCTCTCTCTCTCTATCTCTATATATATATATATATATATATACTAGGGGCCTGATGCACAAAATTCATGCAGGAGTAGGCCTTCCTTCCCCCGGCTGCCAGCACCAGCTTCCCTCTGGCACCTGGGACCTGGGCTTCCCTCCAGCATCCGGGGCCCGGCTTCCCTCCGGCCACTGACAGGCACCCGGGACCCGGGCTTCGCTCGCAGCCTGGCTTTGTCTGGAAGGATGGAAGGACATCTGGTCTAATTAGCATATTGCACTTTTATTATTATAGACTACAGGCCCTGTGCACAAAATTTGTGCATGGGTAGGGTCCCTAGGCCTGGCCAGCAATCAGGCCCGATTGGGGCCTTCCGGCTACCAGCCGGGGCCTTCCTTCATTCCACACCACCCTCTGGTGGTCAGCACACATCATAGCAAGCAATCGAACTCCCGGGGGACACTTTGCATATTAGCCTTTTATATATATAGATAGATGTGAAGTGCATAGGATTCAGATCCAAGAAATGTAACCTCAAACCATGGCTATTATCTAACTTAGCTTCATCTGTAAAGTGGGTATGATCCTGATTACTTCAAAGATTTGTTTTGAGCCCAACCGGCATGGCTCAGTTGTTGAGCACTGACCAATGAACCAGGAGGTCACCATTCGATTTCCAGCCAGGGCACATGCATGAGTTGTGGGCTCCACCCCTAGTAGGGGTTGTGCAAGAGGCAGCTGATCAATGATTCTGTCTCATCATTGATATTTTTATCTCTCTCTTCCTCTTCCCTCCTCTCTGAAATCAATAAAAATATTTTTTTTTTAAAAAAAAAAAGGTTTGTTTTGAGGTCTCATGAAGTGTAAAGGTTCTTGTAAATTATAAAGCGTTAGACAAATGTTACTCATCTTTCTGACAGAATAATGAAGAAATTCCTCTATGGAATTTCCTTGGACTATAATATACATATATTTGGTTTGCCCTTTTCCTTCTGACATCACAAGGTAGTGTTAGTGACAAAAATGGCAGATGATTTTAATGTCTACAAGTTAGTGAATACAACATCTAAATTATGTACTGTGGTCAAGACGGCCAACAAAATGCTGACTTTAGATCATGAATCATCACCAGAATACTGTCTGTGATTCTGGTCTTAAGAATAAAAGCAGAAATAGCCCTAGCTGGTTTGGCTCAGTGGATAGCCATGGACTGAAGGGTTCAGGGTTTGATTCCCATCAAGGGCATGTACCTCAGTTGCAGGCTGGATCCCAGGTCCTGGTTGAGGTGGGTGTGAGAGGCAACCAATCCATGTGTCTCTCACATCATTGTTTCTCTCTGTCTCTTCCCCATCCCTTCCACTGTCTAAAAGTCTGTAGGGAACAGCTCTAGAGTTAAGCCTCAGATTGACCTGTGGCAGAGCCACAAACAAGTCCCAGCTTAAAGGGCAGAGCCCTTTTAGCACAATTAAGCTTGACTTTATGGCCTCCCACTAGATCCTTCCTGGGTAATTAATGGGCTGTGGGAGGTGCAGCAAGTGCTGCCAAAACAAATGAAACTCACAAGAACACTGTAACTATGTTGACCACTACCTTGTTTTTCTCTGACTATAAAATAAAGCCTCAGCTTGCTGGCTGGATCCTTCTCTGTGGCCTCATCCAAGCACAGGAGATCCACCGAGCCCCAGCTATATTCTCTTTGTCTGTCTTTTCTTTAGTCCTTCGCCACCTGCCCCCCCCCCCCCCCCCCCCCCCGCCCCAGGCTCAATGAACCCTTGGCTGTGCTGGCATGGCACAAAAATCAATGGAAAAATATCCCCTGGTGAGGATTAACAAAAACAATGAAGAATAATAAGAGCAGAGCTAAAGAAGTTCTAAGAATTGCCCTAGCTGGTTTTCTTAATGGATAGAGTGACGGCCTGCACACTGAAAGGTCCCAGGTTTGATTCTGATCAAGGGCACATGCCTGGGTTGCCAGCTTGATCCCCAGTAAGGGGCATGCAGCCAATTAATGATTCTCTCTCATCACTGATGTTTCTCTCTCCCTCTTCCTTCCTCTCTCTGAAATCAATTTAAAAAAAAGAAAAGTTCTAAGAATGAAATTAGGCTATTGAAAGGGAGTTTTAAACTTATTATTTTTTTATTTTAAAATATATTTTTTATTATTGATAGTATTATAGATATTTCCCCCTAAACTTATTCTTTAAAAACCAGGAAGTCGCCAGAGGTTTTTATACAGAAATCTGTCATTATTGAATTTAAATTTAAAACAGATTCTAGAGCAAGCATGTCAAGCTCAAAGGCCAACATGGCCAAATAAACAAGGTTTAAGTTTACGTGGGCCGCAAAAAAAACAAAAGCCTCAAATAAATGTAGGTTTATTTCAACAGAGACATGCTGAATACAAAGGGCTGAAATAAATAATTGTTAACATAAAATAATAGAACATTTTAATAAAAATTAATATTTTTTCTTGAACATTAACTTACCAGACACTGAATAACTGCACAAATTAATAAGCGTAATGCAAATAAACCTATTTTTCTTGTTCTCCAAAAGCGGAATATTTCCTGTTGCGCACATCAAACAAGTCAGTCCAAGACTAATGACATGGCAATTTGCTGCTAAAATATTCACTGCTAGTATTAGTGGAGAGAAATGGTGCCTGTGCATAAGGTGCATAAGGGAAATGAATGCAACACGATTATAGTAATCAGTCATTAGCGAACATTGTAGTTCGTTATTAATAACTAGAGGCCTGGTGCACGGATTCATGCACCAGTGGGGTCCCTCAGCCTGGCCTGTGCTCTCTCACAATCCAGGACCACTCGGGGGATGTAGTAGTGCACGAAGCAGCAGGCGGCCAGGGAGGAGCCTGAGCCCAGGATGGGCATTACGCTGCTCCCACTCATCCCGGCCCCACTGCACCTGCCACAGCTCCTCGGTAGTACTGCCGCAGAGGCGGGAGAGGCTCGTGTCACTGCAGCTCCCTCTGTGGAAGCACACTGACCACCAGAGGGCAACTCCTGTGTTGAATGTCTGCCCCCTGGTGGTCAGTGCGCATCATAGCGACCAGTCAACCAGTTGTTCGGTCGTTCGGTTGCTTAGGCTTTTATATACATAGATTATGTATAATAGGATATTGTAAAATTAAGTTATGAAATTTTTATTAAACGTTTTTTACATGCCATTATATTGTCTGGGCAGCAAAAAATATTCACTGTGGGCCGCATGTGGCCCACAGGCCACGAGTTTGACATGTTTGTTGTAGAGGGACCAGCAGTGTGCCCAGTTAGGAGGCTATTGCAGTAGGTCAGGTGAAAGATGATGGAAGCTTGAACTATGTGGTAACTGCAGAGATGGAGATGCAGAGAAGCAGACAAATGTGGCATGTATTTTGGTGCTAATAAATGGGATTGATGGGAATA